CCGATGAGATCCGCGGCTGACGAATGACAAAAATACGGCGCGTCCAAAGAATGTCACGTCGTCGATCCCGCGCTCGAGAGCCCGTCGAAATCGATACGCGCGATATTCGCGCGACAATATACGACGTCGTCGGCCACTACAATGCCCCCGAGGAGACTCGAGCGTCGAGACGACGCCGTCAATGGCGTCGTGATAGTGTCGCGTATCCGACGATGCTCCAGCGTCGTCCCCCCCGGCTCCGCCCGGGTGGCCGCGATCCTCGGGACGTCTCTCCTAGGCGGGACGATCAGTCGCGCGAGCTATCTCGCCTCTCTCGCGACGGCGACTGATGAACGAACGCAGCCGGGAGAGCCCGGCCGAAAATATCCGGCGTCTCCGGACGCGCAGTAAGCCCGAAAGCGCGCGTCCGATCGATCCGCGTTCGCCCCGCGGCGCGGATTCATCACGCGTCTCTTTTACGTAAGCGCTTCGCGCGAAACGCGCGAGCCGGAGATTACAGGGCGCGAAAGGGGAAGGAAGAAGAAGAAGACCGCGGCGGTCCGGTCGAGTGCGACGCGGCCGGACGTCGCCGTCGAACTGTATCGGCTTCTGTGCACTTGGCATCGCGACCCCGGCGAGCTGCGACGACGCCGTTCGAATCCCGATCGAGACGACCGCGCGACGGTGCATCGACATCGAGTCGCTGAGGATTCTCCCGCAGACGCAGACGAGATTCTGCTCGTGAAATTATCCGGCAGGATCGCCGAATCACTCCGTTCCACCCGCCCGAGTAGAAAAATTAATAGGGCTCTGGTAAGGGCCGGATTATTTTTCCCTAACATTAATCGGGCCCTCCTACGTAAGATGTATAACAAATGGTTTTAACGCGTATCCTTATAAGGCAATATTATAAGAATCCTCTAAGGCAATATCAACAGGATCTTATAAGGCAATATTATATAATGAGGACCTTACAAGACAATATTTTTGTTATCGCTTGAGTAAAAATATTCGTTCTTTTCATTACAAGAAATTTAGACTGTCATTTCTCTATTTCTTTATAACCTTGTTAGTATACAACAAGAATTTTTTTATTTTTTATTTTAAAAATATAGCATATTTTATATAGTAAAATATAGTATATAGTTCTTTACACGTAAAAATCCTGCTACTATTTTTATTAGTTTGCTGCATCTCAAAATGAAGGCAATACTAGAAAAATCCTTGGAGAAGACTGAATGAATACAGCAACTAATAAAGCTAATAAAATTTGTTTTTAATTGCAATATGATTAAAAAATCTTTAAAAGAACCAGATAGAGCGTACCTATTGACAACAATGTTAAACTATGACATTTTATTACACGCTTCAGATCTTATTAATTTTCTATAACAAAGCTTGATTTTGTATATCTAGAGCATTCTCTTAAAAGATCCTTCCAAGGCCCTTATCAATTTTACCTCTATTAAAGCCTTATTTATTAGATCTAAGGCATCCTTAAAAAATCCTTCTAAAGCCCTTCTCAGCTTTTCCTATCAAAGCTTTATTTCATAAAATCTAAGGCATTCCTAAAAGATCCATCTCGGGACCTGATGTGGTAACAATGAAGTATCCTTTTTTAGGGCATCCTACTTTCAGCCTTATCCGGGCCCTATGCTTTATAAAGATGCCCTAACAATTTTTTGCTCAGGTAGTAGAAGACACGATGGAAATTTAGGCAGCACAATTGAACGACTGCGGTCGTAAACATCGCGCAAACTCGCGCGGACAGCTTCGCGATATCAGCCCGGATATCTAATTCTAATTTCCTGAAGATTAGTTAGCCGAGCACGATACCGATATCAGTATCGGCAGTATCGACCGTCATCTCGTCCGAAAGGTGACTTCTCCACGTAGAATCGAGTCGGCGATGTCAACAAGTTCACAAATCGGTCACAATGCGTCGTGAATCTCGCGAACGGAGCGGACGGTGACGAGAACCGAAAGAAAGCGGACGCCTACGGATTCGTCGAGTGCATAATTATCTTCGAACGCAATTATCCGCGATGAATCGCCTCCGTTTTATTCGCCTCGCTCTCTTCTATCGATACACACTTTCGTTCGCATCGCCACGCATTTCGGCTTTCACTCCTCGCACAACCGTGCAAAGTCCCTTTCTCAGCCGCAGATGGAGAAAGAAACATCTTCTCTCACAGCGGCTGCGGCGGCGGCGGAGGGGGAGAAGGGGGAGGGTCTCGTTGCAGCGCGTTGCAACGAAGCGTCCAACCCGCGTGTGGAATTCCTCCTCGGCGACGTGTGCGACGCGCGCGCCGTGTAATTAGCGTGTCTGCCGCGTATCAATCGCACGAGCGACAGGAGCCCCGGGAAACGCGTGGAGAGCGACAATTTCTCCTCTTATCTGATCGGCAGAGGGAAGAGAGAAAGAGGGACAGAGAGAGGGGGCGAGAGAGAGAAAGAGAGAGAGAGAGAGAGAGAGAGAGAGACGAATCTGGAGCGCGTACGCATCGCGTCTGCGGTGTTTTTAGCCGGGAAAAATTCTCCTCCGGAAATTTCTCTTTCGCTCGCGCCGCCGTCCGTGCGTCGCCTTCCTTTTCTTCCTCCTCCGTCGCTCGCTCGCCCGCGAGAGAAACGCGCGTCGACGCGACGTCGTTGCACGGCGCGCGAAACGCCTCGAAATCGGGACGACGCGCGACCGCCTGGGCGATTTTCTTCTTTCTCTCCAGTCCCTTTCTCGGGACCGCATTTGCGCGGGATCCGTCCGTCCGTCTTAACCGGCGATAACGCAAAGTGCACTCGCCGATTAAGCCGTCCTCCCTTCCTCCTCCTCCCCCCCTCCTCCCTCCGCCGTTGCCGACGGAGAAAATGCGCGTAATTTTCGCGCGGTGTAATCGAGCCGTTTCGAAAGAGAGGAAAAAAGAATCGCGACCGACTTGCGATACCGCGTCGCGTCGCGTCGCGTCGCGTCGCGTCGCGTTAATTAATTACAATTCGCCGGAGGATTATTCATACTTTAGCGTGTGGATAACGGACTTTCGCGGTGTGCTTTCTAATTTCCCATTCGTCTGCGTATCGCGCGACCAGACGCCGACCGTGAAATTAACATGAGCGTTTTACCGTTATCACCCGCGCCTATAAGAACCGCGTCTGAGAGCCGGAGGACTCGCTCGCTATTGCTTATCGCGATATTTATCGCGTTGGACAATATCACTCGTCGGGTTATCCGAGCGAGATTAATTGTCTCTCGCGCGCGCGAACGAACCGATAGCGGGGCCGCTCGATGTTTTCCCGCGGCGAAATGGCCTTTAATTCTTCGGGGCTTAATCAGGCACTACAGCGGCGGTGGTCGTAAAGATAACGTTGATGATACCGTAATGACGAAAGTGTAATGTGCATACCGATCTTGCATCCTTTAGTCATCGTTAATGCCGACGTTATCGCGCGCGCGCGCGTTTTGATCGGCTCTTAATTCGATGACGAACGACGAAAACAACGCCCGACACGCCGTATTATTCTATTTACAAACGTCCGATCTTTCGGTCTATTAACAAAATTTGCCCTCGCTCTTCGATCCCCTTCCTCCGATCTCCCCCCAGCTTCGCATTGTCCCTTGCACGCTAATATACGTGCGTTGTTTTCTTAAGTGGGGAATTACACGCGGATAGCGTCCTCAAGGCTATTTTTACGAATTTTTTAACAGAAACGGTAAGGTCAATGGACTTGAAATTTTCACAATGTGTTCATTAATGTTCAAAGTATAAAATAAATTTTATTGAATCGCACACAAGAACCGATCCAATTTGTAATTATAGATAAAAATGCAGTCATCCGTTTGCGAGTTCTATGTTTGCTGTTGACATAATTCCGGGCTTCTCACTACTCTGAAACCGAGAAAATGAGAAAGATTTTGAAAATATACAGTTAAAATATACATTGTAGCTCAAAATGAAGGCAGTGGAGCCAAATTTGGAAAGATAATGAGTGTACAAAGGAAAGTATCGAAAAGTATCGAAACTCTTTTCAATTTGTAATCATGTTTAAAAAAATGAATAAAATAAAATATAACTGTGTTCAAGGTAGGGGCGCGAAAACTACATGTCTACTGTATATCGTGTAAAAATTTCAAGTTATTCGGTAGTTTTTGCGTAATCGTGTAGACAGTTTACAAAAATGGTATTTCCAGATAAACGCGTTTAAAGTTTCATGTGTACTTGCCATATAGACAGTAACAAATTTATTTTATACTTTGAATATTAATGAATACATTGTGAAATACATGTGAAAATTTCCAGTCCATTGATCCTGCCGTTTCTCTTAAAAAAATTCGTAAAAATGGCCCTGAAAATAGCCTGCTTCGCATGTAATTCATTCCCCCTTTAATCGGAAATAATTCATGTCTCAATCTTCCCTTGTTTTACCACGTTGATCGACAACGACCAGTTAGACGAGCTGACGAACATACGAGGTGAACGTCCCAATTAACGACCAGTAATCTTATCTGAGACTAATAAATTAATCATACACGCTGATCTTAAGCTGATCACACACACAAAGTCGATCTTGCAGCCGAACACGCGGGATTTTAATCGCGCTATATTCTTTTCCAGTTCACGAGAATATTTTTATTCACGGTGTCACATTTCCTCAGAGATGAGACTAAAGCAGTGACACGGCATTTGCTTCTGTTTCCTCACTGGGACATTCACACTTTACCTCGCAAATTCGCACTCGCACTCGTTCGCGGCGATCGAAGCTCCCGCTGCGCGTTGAGGCGGAATCAGCGGAAATCAGCGTGGCGCGTCAACGCCACGTTGTTGATCAAAGTACACGCAGTATCTCGTTGCGAGCAAATCTGCGCAGAGTCGGGCGCGCTTCGCGAGAATTTAGAGTCCTCCTCAGATGACGCGAACGGGGAGCAGCAGGACAAAGGGAGGGCAAAGGGAGGGGAGGGGGGAGGCAGGGCAGGAAGAGCCCCGTCGCATTCTCCAGCAGCAAATCAATCCTCCGCTCTTTACTTCCCGCAGGTTCATGGGGGTGTGCGTGCACGAGGGTCAGCTGCACGCGTTGACGGAGTACATCAACGGCGGCAGCCTGGAGCAACTGATCATGTCGCGGCACACGCCGCTACCGCACCTCGTCCGGATGAACCTCGCCAGGGACGTGGCCCGCGGCATGGCCTACCTGCACAGCCGCGGCCTCTTCCACCGCGACCTCACGTCGAAGAACGTCCTGATCAAGAAGGACGAGTGCAGCAACGAGATGACCGCGGTGGTGGGCGACTTCGGCCTGGCCGCGAAGATACCCGACCCCAGCTCGGGCTACCGGCTCAGCACGGTCGGTAGCCCTTACTGGATGTCGCCCGAGTGCCTGAAGGGACAGTGGTACGACCACCGCTCCGACGTCTTCTCATTCGGGATCGTGGTGTGCGAGCTGATCGGCCGGGTGCCGGCGGATCCGGACGTGTTGCCACGCTCAGATAACTTTGGCCTCGATTACCTGGCCGTGGCGGAGATCTGCGCGGCCGCCGATCCGCCGCCCGCCTTCCTGCAGCTCGCCTTCAACTGCTGCACGGTAAGCACGAGTCCCTGTAACTGTAAAGGCGCGCGCGTGAGCGCGCCGATCCGCCGCGAGTAATCGCGGAAGATTAGTGTAACCGCGCCGAGAGTGGCTGTTGTGTTGTATGCAGCTGCCGTCGCGCGCGAGTCCGCGCGCGACGGGGGAGCTTTAGCGCGCAATTACAGCAATTCTCCGACACCAAGCACGGTGTGGTAGCGCCGATGGTTGTCTTTTTCCTTTGCTTCTTTCGCCTTCTTAGCGACCACTTCTTAGCGTTCGCTGTCTCGATCTATTATCGAGAGTGGTGGGTGGCTGTGTGATCAAATTCGCGATCAAAGTCGCGGTGGGGGGAGGGGATCGACGGCAATTCCCCGGCAAGAGAAGCGAGTTGTCGAAACGCGCGAATTGTGTGAAACACCGCCGCGGAGCTGTTCGCGTCGGGGCTGATTGTTTCATCTCTGCCTCTGATCTCTGATTTCGCACCCAGCATTCGCCAGCTCGGGTCGGCGCCGATTGCGAGCCGATTAATGACGAGGAACGTTCTTGTTTCCAGTACGAACCAAAGTCCAGGCCGACCTTCCCCGAGATCACGAGCAGCCTGGAGACCATGATAACGGCCTGCGAGGAGGAGCTGAAGAGCAACATTGGCAAGAGACAGTCGGCGGTCGAGCCGACGCTGATGTCCAGCATGGACGAGATCGTGCGCGAGGGACGCACGACGAAGCGACGCACCGCGAGGCTCAGGAGTCAGTCGGCGGACGCGAGAGGTTGCGACAACGCGACGCCCTCCGACAAGGCGAGGTGTCACTCCGCCAGACGGGTGGCCGAGCTCGCCAGCAGGAGGGATCCGCACTACAGGCCGATGACGGCGAATCCGTTCCACGCGCTCGGCGGCGTGAAGAAGATCCTCGGCGACCTGTTCTCCAGCTGCCTGGAGTTGCCCTCTCTCGAGGACGTAAGGCCCAGCGTGACCGACGGCGCGTGCAAGTTCAAGCCGGCGCAGAACGACAGCATAGCCAAGATCCTGGACAGGAAGAAGCCGAGCTCCGAGCCGAGCAGTCCGACCGCCAGGAAGAAGTGGGAGAGGAAGGTAGGTGTGCGAAGTGGCCTCCTGGGTCGGATGGAGTGTGACCCGAGGCGATCGCGTAAGGCGCAGAATTGCTTTAACGCCTCGCAATTCTGCTTGCACCTGAAGGGCGGCACGTGTAACGCAGCGGGCTTGAGCGAAATTTCTTTCGACAACAACGCAGTACGCGCGCGCATACAAACGAGGAGTCGGGTGGCTTTGTTGCAACTTCAAGGTGGTTAAATGAGAATGTTTAAGCGTAGAGATTCCTTCGAGATAGTCGCATCACAGACAGACTCGAACGGTTGAACGTTTGCACTTAGGTCGCCACCAAAGCAGGTGCCGCGAGTCTCTTCACCCATCCGCTGTTTCGAGACGGCTGGGAGCCGCGAAGGCGCGGCAGCTGCGAGTCGGGCTTCTGGAGCTGCGTCGGCGAGGACCTCAGCCCAGAGCCGCCGAATCGCCGGCACACGTCGACCCTGAGCAGCTCAGCGGCGAGCAGCCTGTTCTTGCTGGACGACCATCGGACCAGCTCGATATACACCGACTCCTCCGAAGATATAGCTAGCTTGGGTGGCGGCGACTCGTCCTGTTGGGAAGACCGGCTCGGATCGTCCAGCAAGACCATCTCGAAGATCGTCGAGTACTTTGAGAGGAAGCAAGCGACGGCGGGGAGTCTGCGATTGGGCGACCACGGCGACGCCGGTCCCAGTCGCCTGACCTTGCTGAGGGCCAGTCTAGAGGGGCCCGTGCCCATCTCGGCCGCGCAACGCTTGGTGGTGTGCGAAGGTGCCGTGCGCAGTAAACTCGCGTTATTCGACAAGAAGTGATATTACTGATCCTACGGGTGAGCCGCGACGCTTAGCGCTTCGGCACCTCGTCGTTGTTGTTTCACGACGCGCGAGCGGCCCGCGCGAGGTCGCCGTGTTCACGCGGAGAAGCCTACTGCGCGGAACGAAACACGATACCTCGGTCTCGGGAGGGCCTGGCGGCGGGCGGAGGGCCTCGTTGCGGTGTCTCGCGATGGTATACGCCGAGGACGTTGCACGCGATGACGATAGGTGATATAACCCGCGCGCGTTCTCACCCACGCGGAAGAAGAGAAGAATTAGACGAGAGGAGGAGAGGTGGAATTGCTAGTAATCTCTCGGCGTCTCGGTCGGGGAGGATTACAGGAATCGCGTGCGCGATTCGTAGGCGGAGGGAGGTTAGTAGTCGATACACGCTCGTGGCGTGCTGACGGACGCTTCTCTAAAATCTAGTAACCTGACTGTGATGTTTTTTGATAATCTACATACACTATATTGAACTGTACGACTGAAATCTGGCGGAACCATCAGCACGGGATCTTTTGTACGCAGCACGAACCGTTTCACATGATGCTACACTTGGCTACAACGATGCGTCGTTCGGGTGAGAGATAGGAAGAGAGAGAGAGAGAGAGAGAGAGAGAGAGAGAGAGAGAGAGAGAGAGGGAGGGGAGGAGAGAATGTTAGCGAGAAGCAATAACAGATTTCGTCGGAAGGAAAGAGAAAAAAGAAAACTACGCTCGGGATTTACAGCGCTGACGTAGCGCCGGCCGCTCGCGATCGACACACGTATTGCAGTGCCTCGCAGTTCCTAGTTAGCCATCTCCGTCCTTATGCGCACGAACCGTGAATTTTACCGATCACTGCTACAAGGGATTCAGTTCGACGAGACGCGAGTTACGAGTAAGGGCGAATGATTCTTTCTACTTCAGTTGAACAGGCGGATTGCGCTAGGACAAGGCTCGCTTGTCTCACTTGTGTTTTTCATTTTCTTTTCCCCTTTTTTCCTTTTTTGTTTCCGCGTAACCGAAGGCGGCTAGTTTCGTCGGCCTGTTGCGCTCACGTTGCTTCTAAACGACATTGTCGATTTTTAATTTTTGAAATCATTTTTCTTTTAATTGTTTGCTTTTTTTATCTTTACTTTCTTTTAAGAGCTCTGGATCGTCATTGCAAGTCACGTTGCCGGCTATCCTTACGTTCTTCGTAGAAGGCAATTCGTTACACAGTATTGTCATCCACCTCTGCGTACGTTGCAAACTCCGACGCATCTGCAGTGACTCCGATGATCAGGAATACCTTAAGTATCATATTTTTACAGAGGCCTACGCCGCGCTTGCGTGACTCTTAATTCGTCTTTCGGCTCGGCAGACACTGACGTCGATGCCGCGCGTACAAGTTCACCGACTGCTGCTACGTGCTCTCGCAGCAACTCGCAATTTCGCGTGTCACCAGCGTTGTAACAATGCTCGGGACGCGCGGGTGTAAAGTGCCGGAGAGAGAGGGAAAGAGGAACGAGAGAGAGGGGGAGAGAGAGAGAGAGAGAGAGAGAGAGAGAGAGAGAGAGAGAGAGAGAGAGAGAGAGAGAGAGAGAGAAGTAATACGATAGTGTGTGTATATATATATATACATATATATTTTTTGTTGGCAGAGATACACCGTGTCCCCCGGATATTCTTGTTGATGCCGAGAGATGTTGTCCACTGCGGAAAGACAGAAAGAACATATGAAACTGATCTAGTCAGTGTATTAATGCGGCGGCCTTACCTTTTGTACGTTTCGTAGCGCTAAAACTTAGTGTCTAGGTGAATAGAGATGCGAGCGTGAATCCGCCGGATTGGAACCGGGCATCCTCTGGCACAGCGCAGCGGTTTTCTTTTCTTTTTTTCTTGTTTTTTCCGAACGTCGGTATATTTATACACACAGAAAAACGTGAGAATATGAGAGCGTGTGCAAGACGGTGTGATGAATGCGCGAGGTGCGTGCGTGGGGGTTGCATTTGTGTGTGTATATGTGAGTGGATGTCTGTGTGTGTGTATCTGTTGCGAGAAAAAAGTGTATACGTCCAAGGCAATATATATGTATGGGTGTGTATATATATATATATGTATGTGTGTGTGTGTGTGTGTGTGTGTGTGTGTGTGTGTGTGTGTGTGTGTGTGTGTGTGTGTGTGTGTGTGTGTGTATGTGTGTGTGTGTGTGTGTGTGTGTGTAGATACACACACACACACACACATACTTATATAGGTAGCTACAACTTTCGCATATGTAACGTCAATCGTTTCGTCGTACGTGCGACGAGTCGAACCAAATCTACGATTATAGAGTGATAGACTATAAACAATGATACCTTTTTACTTGTCGAAGTTCGCTCACGGGTTTACTCCATAAGACTGTGCGTTCTCGTTAATAGTAAACGTCGTATGTAAGTAGGCAAGCTCGAAATCGCGTCAACGACATTCGCAGTCTCTTCTTCCTCGTACAATAGGATGCGCGCCGTGTACGGACTCCTTCTTTTTCTCCTTTCTGTCTTCTCCTCTCGCCTTTCTCTCTCTCTCTCTCTCTCTCTCTCTCTCTCTCTCTCTCTCTCTCTCTCTCTCTCTCTCTCTCTCTCTCTCTCTCTCTCTCTTTCTCTCTCTCTCTTTTGTCTGTCTGTCTGTCTTTCTCTCTGTTTCTCCTTATTCGTTTCTGCTCGCCGAACCGGGGCCTTCTGTTCCCTCGATGCGTCAATCGGTGTACCTGAACAATCGCGAAAGAAGGACTGCGAACGAGTTAGTTTTTTAAGCGTGTGGACATATCAGGAGTGGGCATATCCCGAGGTTCAAATCCCGATTGCGAATAGGGACGAGAAATGCGTGAGATAACGCGAACGTGGTGTACATGTTGTGCGCGAATGTGAGAATGCGTGAGAATGGGGAGAAAGAGGACGGGGCGAGAAAGCAGCCGAGTCGGCGGATCGAGAGGCGCATTTTTAACAAGAAAAAGAATGGGTTATTTATTTTAAGTAAAAAAACACAGTTATATTAAAGATTATATATCTATATATAAATCTATGCAAATCGTCTCTTCCATACTTTTCGACTGTTGTCTAGTATCTACGATTGCTACCGTTGTAGTATACACGTAGTCCCATTTCTCTAGCTGTACATATTACTATTATTATTATTATTATTATGCTACGAGACGCGGGGCGTAAGATATCGGGCCCCTCGTGATTTTCCGAGTTTGTCGTCGAAATATGTACAACACAAAGGTTTAATATAATGTCGAGCGCTGTGTGGCACGCCCGATTCTCTTGTGGTCATCATTGATCCGATATAAATAAGCGCGAGGGAGAAAGAAAAACACAATGGCGATGACGGCGATGATAATAATAGTTATAACGATTAATATTTAGTGATGGAAGAGCGTAAAAAACGAAGCTATATATATGTGTGTTGTGTGTATATATATATATATATATGTGTGTATATATATATATGTGTATACATATATATAGCTATGTAAAAAATTCCTATATACAGAGGTAATAAAGTTAAGGGCTCCCAATTTTTACTTAAAAAAAAAAAAAGTGAGAATAACAAAGTATCGAAACTTTCTTCTCTAATGCCATCAAGTTTGTACGACCCTAATAATCGCAGAAAAAGAAACGTCATCTTCTTTGCAATTTTTCACACGGTGTTATTTGTAATCTTATTACGAGAACAGAACATTTTAGTTCGGTAAGCGTTATTGTGTTCGACAAGATGGTAGACACGGCAGGCAAGTCTTGGTTAAACGCGAGCTCGGTCTTCACCTTGCACGTGAGAAGTATCATCCTGAATTATTCTACATCTAATATAACGATATCATATCGTGATACGTCGGAAAACGTGTGTTTAATTTACATATATGAAATCTAGCACGAATTGTTTTTAACACGCTCGTTACACAGAGAAGATAGTATTCTACTGCTGAAGAAAGCGATTACTCAGTTTCTTTCTTTTAAGCAACGGTTATCTCCAACAAGCAATACTTTCTTGATAATAGCGCTCAAACGTGTATTCGCGCGAATTTTAGAAAAGCTTATTATCGTATAATTGGAAGAAGAATTTATTCTTTTTTCACAATATGTTGTAAAATCAATTTAGTATTCTTGATTGGGGTACTAAAACCTGCTAGGGGGATTATATTTTGAGCAAATTTTGTCCTCGTGACGAACTTGTGTCAGATTCGCGCGCACATAAACTTGTGAAACACTTGAAACAAGTAACATTCACTCGGATGCAGTATGCGTTTATTGTTCTGTGCTGAACCGCTCTGTACTCTCTCTCTCTCTCTATATTAAAACACTTAATTCGCTCATGATCGCTGTCGCACATACGTACGATGAGACGTTTGTTCCTCTCGAGAGATCGGTGCATCACACGTGCGCGAGCCTGATAGCGAACGTATTATTAGACTATCGTCTTGCGTGTCGAGATCGTAGACAGATATTTCACTCGTACCCGGAAATGTTCATTTCGTAAGAAACACCGCCGGAACTCGAATTATCGCTTCCGTCGGATGTTCAAGAGACAGCTGTGCTTGGCCGTATCCTTGAGCTTTAGAGAAAAAGATCCTCGGCCGGATACACAGGTCCTTATCGAAGTAATTTCGACGCACGACTAATTCCACGGCTCTCGACAGCGAGTTTCAGTTTCCCTGCGGAAATCTCCCACTATATCAGTCATCGTGGTAACGTCGAATAATGCGCGCGCGCCTTAGAAAGTTCCATCGCGTTAAAAAGAAGCACATGTACGTGTCGGGAAACTAGCTAGTCGTGAACAACGCGAATGTTTCGGCGACCGTTCGCGTCCTACTTTGTCTGCAACGCGCTCGACGTTAACGATCCCTCTCCATGAGCGAGTAAGGCTTGCCCATGTCCTCCTCCGGGATGAACGGTATGTACCTCGTCCTGGGATCTTTCCTTCGCTCGTAGGCGTACGGGAACATCATCGTGGACCTCACCAGCGCCCTGCTGCTCTTCTCCTTCGCGTCCTTGTACCGCGGGATCTTCTGGATGTGCGTGGCGACCGTGGTGGAGCTCGAGCGCGATTCAGGAATGTCATTGGAATCGGCCGACAAAGGCGACGCACCGGATGTTTCCTCCAGATCGACCAGAGGTATAAATTTCCTCTCGTACGTGTTGACCTTCTCGTCCGCCTCCACGAGGACCTGACCTTCGGCAGGTTTCTGCTCGATGACGTTGGTCTCTCTGCTCACCGACGTCTCCTCGCTCGACGTCGCGCTGCGTACGGTCGTAACGCCGCTCTTCATCGTGATCGGCACCCAATCGTTGGTCTTCGCCGGTCGCGCCTCCGAGTCGGCCGTCCTCGACGTCCAGTCTTGGCTGTAGTCCACCGACCAGTCGAGCGCTCGTGAGTTGTTCAAAGGTCTTCGCGACGGGACGTTCTCCGGAGACATCGTCGTCGGCTCATTGATCGGCCGCCATTGATCGTCTTGACTGCTGAGATTGCCGCTCGTTGTCTTCATCGGGTACACGGCTTCCACTACCACCGGCACCTCGGCTCTCGGCACAGTGTACTCGGAGGTGCTTTCACTGTTGTCCACTCTCACACTCGACGACGAGGACGAGTCCTCGGGACTGGAGGACTCGTTGGATCTGCGCCGGCTGCTGTTCAGTTGCGCTGCCTGATCGTCCTGATTCTTCTGCCGAGTGGTCTTGTTGACCTCGGTGGTTGCACTCCTCGAGCGCAGCATGTCGCTCAAAAGAGGGAAGTATTTGGGCTCCTCCTGCCTTATGCCGCTGACGAAGCTCGGCGTGTACTGCGAGATCAAGGGTAGCAGTGTTTGCCTGGCGTATCGCTCAGCCTGCGCCAGGATGATGGCCAGTCTCTCGGGCAAGAATTGCACGGTGAACGCCCTGGCGGAGGTGGACGACGTCTCCTGGATCTCGTCGCGCTGCCGCTCGTGCGACACCGCCTCGTTCTGCGCGTTCTGCCGGGTGGCGCGCGGCCGCAGGATCGGCTCCGTGATCTCGGGTAGCTTGAGCGACCTGCCGGACTCCTTCTTGCTCGGCCGCAGCACCGGTTCCCTGATCTCCGGCAAGTACTCCGTGGTGGTGAGGCCAGTGGTGGTCTCGACCACCGGCTCCAACGGCGTCGACGTGCGGTAGATGAGATTGCTGCCGCCGGAGAAACCCCGACCGCGCTCCAGTTCCGTGTTCTCCAAGGAGTTGGAGTCGCCGTCGTTTGATATGTCGAGAACGATCCACGGGTTCGTCGCGACCGAGCCGCGCCGGCTCGCCTCGACGTCGTCGGAGATGCGAAGGTTCTGTTCCTTCGTGAACGGACCGAGACCTCTCCTCTCCTCCGCGTTCCTATCAACTGGTAGCGCCTCCGTGAGATATCCTTCCTTCGTCTCATAGTTGTGCTCCTTCGTGAACGGCCCGATCCCGCCGTTCTGGTGCTGATAGTGGTGCTGGTAGAGGTGCTGCTGCTGCTGCTGCTGCTGCTGCTGCTGCTGCTGCTGCGGTTGCTGCGACTGCTTCTTCTCGTCGGTCACGTGCTCGAGCGACGGCACCGTCGACGAGGATGTAGAGTTGTCAGTGTCTAAGGGTATGTTGCACTCGCCGGGGTAAAGAGGTAGGTAAACCGACCGGCCGGACTCCAGGGTCAAACCTTTCCTGCAGACCGACATGGTCTTGCCGAAACTGTCGACGATGGTCACCTTGTCGATGGTCCAAGACACCAAGCCGGACGATATCCAGCCGCTGTACGCCGTGTACATGATCTGTCGGATTTAGAACACGATCTCGCTTGAAACTCACTCCTGAGTGTCGCATTACGCGCGACCCAGCTGCGCGAGGTCGTAGAGTCGCAGCTATCAGTTTAACTTAACGCTAGAACTAACCGACAATTGACCTGATTCTTGAGAAAAAGTACGTCAAGTGCAAGGGCAAACTTGTTTACTTCTTTCTCATTTCCATTCCTTTATTTTTGTTTATTAAAGATATAAGAAAAAAATTAATTAAAATGAAATAAAAGTTCAAATAAATTTAGATAACAATAAAAATTAATTAAAACAAAATAAAAATTAAATCAGTTAAAATTATTTAGAATTACATTAAAATTGTATTGAAATTAGACTAAACTCGAAATTAAATTATCCAACACTATATAGAATTAAACTAAAATTAAATTGAGATTATATATATATAATTAAACCCGAATAATTTTTCGAAAAATTTACACACACACACACACACACACACACACACATACCGGTTGTTTTCGAGCGCTCAGTATTTCTAGCGTTAAAACACCCGGAGTAAAAACGAGCATGTGCAGATTACCTCGATTCCCTCGAGACTGCTGATCGCTGGATGCGGCACGACGATCTTTTGAAGGATGGACCCTACGAGAAGCTCCTCGTCCTTGCGCGTCATAGCGAACGTGTCGTTGTAAGAGCCTTCTCCCACAAAGGTGATCTGGAAGAGGACGAAAGGAGAGTCGTAGAGAGGACACGGCGGATGAGACGCGAAACGGCCAAACGGTGCGTCAGCTCACCTGAAGCTTGCCGTAGCTCCTGACGGACCTCTCGCTGCGGCTGTTATACACCTTGATCTGATGCTGGTGCGCGCAGAAGGGCTCCTCGTCTCTCGTGACGAGGTAGAGTTGGCCTCGAGCGGACGACTCATTGCTGTAATAACCCATCTCGCCGCAGGGTCGATCCACGCTGCAAGAGAAGCAGTCACCCTTCAGCAGACCCTCGTAGCCCTGATCGCAGGGAAACGCCGGGAAGTGGCACTTGGGGTTGATGGAATCGGTGAAGAGCTTGTACGCCCGCCGATGGTTGCACAGCGACCTGCCCTCGACGGCGCTTGCTGCAACGATCATGACGAACGTGATATCTCATTGTAAAAAATAAAATGTCAGTTTCGTGTGCTGGAGAATCCGATCTGAATTCCAAGTAAAATTCACTCGCTCGTCTCGCGTTGATAACTCGCGAGAAAACGCCGTTCGACTGGCTCGCACATTCTCTTTCTGCGTTCGCGTGTGTTGTATCTTGAAATACGATGTAGAAACACGATGTAAAAAGTAATTAGAAAATCCGCGCAGTTGAAGAGAGCGGTTGAAGTAACTAAAAGGTAAGAAATGCTGACGAAACATTCTTGTTCGTACAACGGCGTGAACGTAACAATCGTAACCCAAAAGTATACCCTAAATTTGCGCTTAACGCCACAAAGCAACGAAGCACGAGTGAGAAGCAGCGTTCACCCTGGCAGAAATTTATTATTGGCTGTGATAAATAAATTGGCCAGTGATGATAAATTGTATTACTCGTACGAGTAGTAAAATTACTCGTAATTACGAGTAGTAAAATTACTGGTGCGAGTAATAAAATTAATTATTATTACCGGCCAATTAATTATAATATAAAATTATTTATTATCACTAGCCAATTAATTATATAGAATTACTTATTATTACTGGCCAATTTATTACAGTCGGTAATACATTTCTGTAAGGACACCGCACGAGGTGCACGCCGAGAGAAGCTTACACCAGATGATGTCGGTGACGGCGCCGAAGAAGAGGTTCGAGCATCCGCTCTGCACCTTGCCGCCGTTCGGGTAGTAGTCCACGTCGCCCATGGGCTCCCATGAGCCGAGTCCGCCCAGGATCAGCTGCTCGCCGTTGCTGTGGATCACGTCCACGAAATTCGCGTCCGTCGCGTCCAAGCGCGCCCTCGGGTCCTGCGACTCGAAAAGCGGCCCCGCCGGATCCAGTCCTGCTCGCATTAGCAAAACGCGTGACGGTCTTTGAGAGATACGCACGTATCCATCGTCTCTCCAGCAAGCACCGCCTCGACGTCTTCGTCGAGGAAGAACGTGCAACTTGTCCGCTTATCTATTTGTTTGGCAAACGTCTAGCAGGTACCTTTCGGTACCTTTGCAAAAATATTTCATCGCTTTTATCCTCATATTGCCCGTTTTTGGCCCGTTTTTGGCCCGTTTTCAGTCCGTTTTCTACCCGGCGTTCCTTCATTTTTACTTTAACTCCATTTCTTGCACTCTCAAGTCCGCGCAGCGTATGGAGCGAAAAATTATGACGAGTATACGCGACCTATGCATGAGTATTTTTAAGCAGATTGCCCGCGTCTTTAACACTCTTCTTCCAGCTGATGAGCGGCTGCACGTTAATATATGCCTCTTTTACTCAAGACATTGAAATAAATTGAGTAAAAATATACGTACTAACGTGCAGCTATTACTCGCAGCTGAAAAAAGAGTGTTAAAGACGGGTAATCTGCTTAAAAATACACTTTATGGTACGTTTTTACTATTCGACAATCCATTTTCATCACTCGCTGTTTAAGTAAAGCAAGTGCCCCTTTTCGACCTTCGAAACGGTGTCATGCTCGTTGAATTGAATGGACACTTTTTACAACTCAAGTTTACAACCAAAATCTATTTTTGACGGCTAAAAGCGGCGAAATATTTTTGCAAGGGTAAGCGCGCTCTCGTCTCGGAGGAAATCGTCCGTCCTTCAGTTTTCTCTCTCGTACGAGCCTCAGCAGCGAGCAGCGCGAGATTAGGATCGCATATTTTCGAACGCCGTGATTATGCATGCGATGAGGCAATATAGAGCGGCGAATGCCGCTTCTAGCTTGAAAATCTCGACCGATGCCATTATGGCAGCAGCGCGGGAAGAGAGGGTGAGGGAGGGAGAGGAAGAGAGAAAGGGATAACATATACGCTTTTATTTAACATAACTGGCATTGCTGCCGTTTTTCAGCAACTGGCACTCCCACGACGGGGTGAACGTACATTATTAATAAATCAAAGTTGCGAAAACGTTGCGATCGTTTCTCAATCCCGCGTGGAAATGAGAGCTGCTTGTTGGGAAAAAAAGGCAAGAGCCGCGCGCCGCGTCGCGCCGCTCTGATTGAGCCTCCCCGTTTCTCGAAAGGTTTGCACCGTTGCCGAAAGCCGCGGAGGAATTCGATTGCGAGGAGCTTGCGAGCGGGGCGAAGGAACGCACGCATCACCGGCGAAAAACGCAATTCGCCGTGGAAGCCGATCGCGCGCGCGCGCGCGCGGCTCGATCAGGAGGCATCGGCGCGTGTCGAAGTAAAAGGCGGAATGTGAGCGCGCAGTGAGCGCGCTTAAATGCAACGAACAGCTGTTGAGAGAGAGACCTTGTTACAGTTCTCTGTCGAACAGCCGATTACACGGCGGAGATGATGCTCGAGCAGCCGGGGCTTACGAGAGCGGCCGGCAGGTACTCGCGATCCGCGCATGAAAAATTCATACGGAATTCTTGATCGTTCGTCCCGACGGTCGACGGAGTTACAGCCGGCCGGAACAAAGTTCAAAGTAACAATGCGATAACACGGGTGATTACGCGGGTATCTCGTCCTCGGCACGAATCCTCCGGAGAATCTCGGATCTCCGGGGAATTTCTACGGCAGCAGCGACAAGACTGCGCGTTCGTACGCGGACGTGAAACAACTCGGCTCGTGCGACCGAACGAAAACGCAGCGACGAGGAATAATTGGCCTGTTCTTTTTCGGTGCACACTCACTTGGAACTTACAGGCGAAATTTGAGGCTTGGTAGAAGTAAGGAGCTGCTGCAAGGTAACGCAAAGAGCGCAGCGAGAAAGAACGAAACGAAATATCTCCATCGCCGCGACCGAAAATGTTCGCCTGTGAACAATCAGCCGCGAGGAAATTCCGGTTGAGACAGTGAGAAGCAAAACTTGAGCAACGAGTAAGAAAATCTTCTGCAGAAATCTTTCAGTCTCCACAACGAGTAATTCTCATTAAATTCAGCTCGTTAAATGCGCCGTTGCTATTCCCAGTTATTTGTAGCGGACGAAGAATTGACTGCTGTCTTGCATTTGCCTTCGAAGTTCAACGTTTCGTAGACTCTTGCTCGCGAATAAGCAGCATTTACGTGAAGAATCCAGCCTTCTAGCTCTCCTTAAGGGGACCGGAGGGTCAGATTACCGAAAAGTCGTGCTTGTTTTTGATCATATTTTGTGACGAACTGAATAAATGTGCAAGAATGAAAATTTTACATATGTTTATATAACCTAACGAAGCGTAGAAAAATTTTGTTTATTTATAACAAATACTCATATAAATACACCATCCACTTAAATTTTAAACGCGTTCTTCTCGAAATTTTATTGTTCAACTTTTTGCGATGATTTCTCCGAAATTGAGCTTCGTATCAATTTGAAATTTTAAAGCAATAATATTTGTTCATCTGGCTCTCAGATGGGAACCACGGACAATTACGTCAAATTATATTTCATCTCGAGATATTAATTTTTTTATTGTAAAGGAACTGAAAAATTTGGATTTTTTCCTAATAATAGCTACCATTTTGTTAATTTTATTCGATTCCTTTTTGTAGTGGTTCACCGGATAATGATAAGCCTCCTCAAGATTTCCAGCTAAAATTCGCTCCGATCGGACCATCGAGAGCCGAGATATTACTGCAGAAACGACAACTTGAAAAAAAAAACAGGAGAGTATATTTCAGCTAAAAAAATATCGTATATTTATGTGGTTATTTGTTAATAAACAAAATTTTTCTACTCTTCCTATGTTGTACAAATATATCTAAAATCTTCATTCTTGCACATTTATTCAGTTCGTCACACAAAATATTATGAGAAACAAGCGCGATTTCTCAGCAATCTGACTCTCCAGTCCCCTTAAGATTTCATTCAACTCGCGTGACAAGATCATGAGGACGACGAGAGACTTACCGGTGATCCTGGAAACGTTGCCTAATTCGGCTCCAGCGAATCCGGCCACATGCGCACCCAGACTGAATCCTATCAGGTGCACCTTCTCCAGCGGCACGTTCAAGCTGCGAATTAATTTCGCCAATTGCCGGCCCACCAGTCGTGTGTTAGCCGCCGCTCTCACGTAATTGGGCACGGCGCTGCCGGGGCCCCAGTCGACGCACACTGCGAGGACACGACAATGTCGGGTTGATCGGAAAAATCGTTCGTTTTCCTCCTGCGTCGGTAAAACGCGCGAGAAACCCGAGCCTGATATAATCGCGAGCCGCTATCCGCGATGAGAACGTTCAGTTGCTCAAAGCGAAATTAGTCACGAGAGTGTACCGCTACTGGAAAGCAGTAACGAAACGCAAACGGAATTCGAATCGCGCGGCGATAATAATCGTCGTACGAGTTGATCTCGGCTGAACGCGGCGGTGATTTCACCGTATACCTATGTTGCAATCGTGGATGCTCATCAGCGCGGATCTCATATCGTACACCCACAAGTAATTGCAATCGCTCCCGAATCCGTGGACGATCACTTTGGTCGGTAGGTCGGGATCTATGGCACGGTTTGCTTTGTCGTTTATGTCGTCTGCGGGCACCTCCATCGGAATCGATCTCGCCTTCCTGCTCCCGTATACGAGAAATCTACGCCGGAGAATAAGATATTTTCGCAGTGAAGCAGATAATGTACACCCAAAAAGAAAAGCATTTTATTTGTAAAGTGATTTTCCCCATAGTCTCATATTTTATGTAAGCGAGGCCTTTTACAGGAAGAGGATTCCTCTGTCGATAAAGCGATTAAACTAAGCCATTCATCTAAATCATTCATCTAATCTTTGTTATGTTTGTTATAATCTTCGTTGTCTATTGTTATGATCTTATTTCATTCGTACTTACTTATTGTAGAACTGGAGCCAGAAATACATTTACATATATATTACTTTTCGTTATATATTATAATAATTTTTTCAATTTAACCAGTATAACTAGTAAGAATAAATAATAATCTTCTGAAGAATGGATTAAATAATCTGTGTATAAGAGGAAGTTTATATTAAAATCAAAACAATTTGTATTATACATATAACAGATCATTCTCCTAACTTTAAGAATAATGTGTTTAATAATAATAATATTTTCCTCTTAATTTTAGAAGAAGCCTCCTGAGGCCACGTATAAGGGTAAAATCCTCTAAAATTTAGATGATTCCGCTTGTTCCGAAATTATTTTTTTCTCGGGTTATATTTTTTTCTCTTCGCCAAAGTTCGCCATCAAGTGATGCCATATTTTCGGTGCCCGAATCGAAATTCTGTTTCTGGATTAATTCTACGGATTTCATCGAACTTGAGAGAGACCGATGGAAAATGTTGATGCATAGAATCGTGCAGACCATTATAATTGTATTTACAAATTTGATTTTCTCCATGCTGAGGCTTCGAAAAAGACTTGTTTAAGGATTATTTATTTAATTTAACGGTTTATCTCAATATTTCACCTGCATGCATCTTTGATTAGTTTCAATAAGCGATGTATTAATTATGTAACTCGCTCGGCTGTGCAGATAAAATATTCACATCGAGCAGATATTAAATAATTAATATAAGCAAATAATAGGATTGACGAGTGTCCAAAATCAGAAACCTTTTCTTTCTCATAAAATATTTATTATCACTCGTCATTTATTATCTTAGCGTCAGGGAAATTCCGATTTGAAGGATCAGAGAGTAAAGATCACAATTGCGTGCGCATAGCAAGAATGTGCTGCGCACCGATAGAGATCGAAATTTGAATTCAGTACGATAATAACGACAGTCCTTTAAACATAGGCGAAAGGATAGCGCAGGAAAGTTCAGGAGGAGACTCACCGAAAACCTCGAAAATATTGTTCGTTTCGATTTCGTAACCTCCAACGGCAGCAACAATGCTTGATGCTGTTGTCGCAAGATGGCGTGCTTTTTTTGCTCGTTGTTTTGATATCCTCGCGTATCCTTACATTTCTTTACATTCGAGTGATTGCGTCTCGAATTGACGCAGCGAATATCGCAACGCGGAGCGCGTTATCGTTCGCTTTAGATATTTAATTGGACTTTTGTCGGCATCGTGTCCATAATACTCAATTCTCGGATCTAACTGCATCCATGCAAATGTCAGTGTCAGTGTCAATATCAGTGTTACGGAGTAGCCGGAAGCGGAATACTGGATTGAAAAGCCAGGATGGAGGCGGGACGAGTGCAGCGAGAGATACGTAACACATTTCCAAGTATGTGTTTAGTCATTTATTATACAGAATATTTCCGAGTTTAACTGGCATGTGTGTTTGACGAACTCACGGAGGACATGAAGATTAGATTGAAATTTAGGCCAGCTTTCTCATAGTCCGTCATCGTTTTACGAATACTTGTAGTGTCATAAAACTCCGATTATTTTGTTCATCACCGATATCGCACAGCGGATCGAAAATCAGGTTTCTCTTTCGATCGCACTTCGACCCTTTAACGCCCGACTTTTTTATAAGTGTTTTAAGAATAAAATTTGAGTTTTTCTGAACTGAGACTATAAGTAGTGATAACCAAAAGAAATATCAGAATTTTATATCTACGAAAAACTACCTTTCCAGGCAGAAACTATTCCCAGAAGCGAAAAATATGCCTGATTGGTTAAGTTTTTTTTTTATTTTAATAATTTTATATCATAAATGGTTGGCAAAAATTCCTCGAAACATAAAACTCATATTCAGAACCTGATATCTTTTACTCGAAATGGAATATAATAAATGAGTACGTGAAGTTTCCGCTTCTCGTTTGTTCGTTTCGTCAGTTTGATTTTTTTTATCGTTCGTTTTTTGTTTATTGGTAAATATGACTTGGATCCTAAGAGCATGTGCGAAATGAGCAACCTATACGGAGAAAAATGAAGGGTAATCTATACGACATAACTCTGACAGTCAGCTTGACATTTTTCAGCTGAAACTTTACTATATTTGTGAGTTATTGTGAAGTTTATCATTCAGAGCGTCAAGCTTACTATTTCAGAAGAATATCTTATGGATCGTCATTTAGATAGTCAATCGTCCCTTCATTTTTCGCCGCATAAAAAACTGCAGGTCACTAGGTTTCACGAAAATAGGTCGATTTCTTGATTTTCGTGTCTACCATATTGGATTCGCCATTTGGAATTTCTGTATTTTTTTAATCTCATATTTTGCATCCGAGAAAGCTTCCAAATGGATAAAATTATAACAGATACCAACCTATGCATTTATAGTGCATTTCTAGATGTCAATAACAACGCTAACTACGCCTACTTGGAATTTGACAAAACATGTTATCATTAAAACTGAGCTAAAAACAGACTAAACCGAATCTACATACAATTTATATACCATTTTTTAGAAGAAGAATTCATCTTTACAGTGGTGCGAAGAAAACGAAAACCCTCTCCTTTTTTCACTAAGTTATGGATTCTTAAATGCATTTCTGGTAACTATAGTTACCAGATGTAAGCGTTAAAGGGTTAAACCGTCATTGAATAATCATTATCTCTTTATAAAAGCAAGGGACTCCTTTCCGTTGCATCCTTTACAAATTCCCAAATCCTATTGAAATTTGCATTAGCTAATAGCGATAATTAATACACAGCCCACTAACTGACCAAGAGTGGATTAACGAAATATTAAGCAACTCCAAGACGAGTCTTGGAGTGTCAGCGTGAGAAATCCGACGATAAGCGATCGCTTGCAGCATTAAAGTAGGATAGCTTACGGTTGTATCTCGAGATTCTTGGAAGAAATTTGATGTAGAAGCAAAGCAAGCCGTGGAAATTAGTCGTGGAAGGTGCATTCGGAAGGTGCATTGTCGCATTGTACTATGGTAGGTAGACTCGTCTCGGTGTCTTTACCTGGTGCCGACGTCCTTAGGCGGCGACGGTAGCATCTCGAGGTAACTGAACGGCACGGTGTCCTCGAAGCAACCAATATCCTCGTAACAAACTTTGGACACTTCCCTCTTCCCCCTGTGGTGATACATCTTGCGCAGCGTCCACTGGCGCATCGACTCGACGACCGCGCGAAAGATCTCCATGTCGTTCACTTCGTCCTGACTCTCGTCCAAGGACGAGAACCCTTGACCCGCAGCGGGATCTGTCGGAAAACGTTATGTTTCATGAATCGATGCAGATCGACGCAGAGATCGTTCGAGTCATCTCGCCGTGCTTATCGCGTGCCGATCAATCACGCAATTCTGTGTGGTTTATCGCCGGCACAAAAGTGCGCATCAGCCGGCTCCGGTGCGTTCATGGCAATATCCATAACGGCTTCCTCGGTCCGTGACTCGCGGCCGTTATCGTTATTAGCATAACGCCTGAATAACAATTTCCTGGAACACCGACGCGATATTTTACACCTGATAGACCGGCGGGTATCTCCGTCGATTATTCCTTGCCGGTCGCGTCGGCGACCGCGATCACGCAATCTGGAGCGAGCGCGTCGTCATCGGACAGGACGTGGACGACGTGAGTACTGAGAAATGTCCGCCGTGAAATTGGATTCCCATTATCCTTCTGACAAAGAGCGTCCGCGAAGTGTGTGTCTCCGATTTCGACGAAACTTGGCACATTTATAGAGTAGCCAAAAATATGAGACCCATATTTTTTTTCAATCGGCATTGGCTCAAGTTTAAGGGGTGAAACTGCCCCTCAAAGTTTCATCCCATTTATCCCATCACGTTAACTGATGAAGATAGAAAAAAGCTTTTTAAACAAAAATTGTACGGCATAAAAAACTATACAATTTTTGTACACTTAAATCTGAGCCTTAAATCTTAAACCTGAATCACATTGCCGATAAAAAAAATGTGGGTCTCTTGTTTTTGGCTACTTTACGAAGTTTCGTCGAAATCGTAGACGTACATTTCGCTTTCTTGTGAGAGAAAAAATATATAAAAAATTTATATCGGTGGATGTGCCGATAACAAAATTGCTCGTACGATTATATGTACTTTTACAACGAGGAGAATCTGTCCTCAAATGAGAAAATTGTTCTCAATCTGTAGCTCTTCGTGAGAGCAATGATTTATTCGATTCGAGCCGACTAAGGATAAAATTCGATCACGCAAAAGAGTTCGAATTCAAGTAAACATGTCATTAGCACTCGCTGAGTAGACACTTAACATTTTTTCGCAATATTCAAATTCTCTCAATAAGAAATTATATTGAAGTAAAAAGTTTGAAACGGGGGATTGACAGAAAATCCCACTTCGTCTAAACGCGCAGTGAGAATACGCACGGCCTTGCTCGATCGACGGATTCCCCGGATGCAAATCGAGCCCCTCCCCGGCGAATGCTCGGAGAAATTAGTAGTCTTAGCTCAGCCGCGAATTTAAATGCCGGTCGTGTTTATCGTCTGTCATTAAGACCATTGTAAGATGTCCCGCGAGCCTACTTGGAGCGCGCTCGGGCGATGTCGAAAGCCCGTCAAAGTGGACATGAGAAACTGGCGCGCTCGTGACATAATTTGCATGGAAACTGCCAATTAGATATCGCGGCTTGATAACAAACGCTAAGCCTGATAACATCGTTAGATTCCACCGAAATCGCGGCGCTTTCCCATACCTTACGAGATATCCATACCGGCAGACCGGAGAAATATCAATGCGCAAACGCTGAATAATGGTAGCCGCAGCAATGAGTGGACGGCTTTTAATTGTGATACCTCGTGAGAGAGTCAGCGGGGTTGCACACGCAATCGTGAAAACGCATCAAGCGCGTTAGTGCGCAATGATGATATAATAATAGCCGTGCTTGTGCTTTTCCGCTTGCGAAACGACGCGGCCGTGCATTAATTGATATTACACAACGGCGATATTAATTTCAGAGACGAATGTCGAATTACGTATATATAATAATTGTCGCGTGCCGAAATACGAAATACGATTGTGGGGGATAAGAGCGCAATCGCTCCTCTGCTCGTCTCGGGAATACCGCAGGCCCTGAAATATGCATCGAGAACGAGTGAAATGTGTGTTGAACTCGCGGAGAAATTGCACACAGGAATTGCGACACAGCGTCGCTTTGCTCAACATCGCACACACGCACTCCCTGTCCTTCTTCGCGCGATAAAGACCGGCGTAATCATTCGGAATGACTTCGAGAATTCTTAATGCGCGTGTAATGTTACGCAAATTTCTGTGCAATCGTCGGGTAATTTTACGTTCGACGGCGACACCTTGCGACAAGTGAAAAGCGCCGTTCTTGCGCGCGCGCGCGCGCGCGCTGGCAGATTTCTTATCTGCGTGGAATTCCCCGAATGCAAAACTGCAGCGTTCATTCGCCTCGATTGAAACGGCGATTTCTCAGCGGCGGCGCTATCAAACGGTCGTTTCGCGCGGGTTTCGCGCGAGAAACGCAGCTGGTCGTCGCCGATAATCGGCCGGAAAATATCGGTGACGCTCAATCCGCTCGCGCTCGCGCGATGACTGCGCGCGCGGATTTCGCGTCGCGTCACGTACAGCGCGGGATGCGTGCCACTTCTGGCACATTAGTTTTTCATGACGGATTCTCCGACGTTGGCCGGCGTGGCCAACTTGGAGTCAGCCAGTCGGCCTTTTTCCCCGGCCGAGACGTCGAGGCACGCGCGCACGCGCGCTCCTCGAATAATTAACGGTCGGACAATCCGGGAACTCCCGAGAGCTGAGGGAAGGCGAAGCAACGACAACATCCCGAGCAGAAATCAAATACGGCAATTTTTTATGCCTATGTATGGCATGACTAGGCAAGGCCATAAGAAGGCATTTCGAGCGATCCTTATCCGGTCGGAATGTGCTTGCGATTGTCTCGCAACATTTTCCGGATTATACCCTGACTGCAGCGATGACGTCATTATTTGGATGCCTGATTTGGTTCTGATGGACATTTGATCAGGTTTCTCGATTTCAGGCAATTTTATCAGGGCATTACGCAGCAGTGCCGGCCGGATCCGATAGAGAGTTATCCGGGCCCTATTTGAAATTTGGAAGCCGGATAGGGTTTTAATACGCCATTATCTCGACAGAGTTACCGAAAGCAAGCCTTGAAGCGGCGTCTTCTTGGAGGAAGATACACGACACTTCTCGTGTCTCGCAAATCACAAGCTAGACTAGTTTCCACACCGCATTGTTCCCAGCCGTTTCCCCGGACACCGGCCGGGGTTAACGCCCGTCTTGGCCAGTCACAAAGTCGGCGATTGGGTCAACGGCGAGCGTGTCCTGAACTTGCGACCCAGATCTGACCGAGTGCTAGGCCGAGTGGCGAGAAAAAGTAACGGCGGAAGGTACCAAGGCAGAGTAGCGTCTCGAAAGTGGCAACGGCTGAAGGCGGCTGAAGGCGGAGAGGAAAGCGGGAAAGAGATCGGCCGGGGCGAAGACCGGGAGTCTGACGAATTCGCTCGCTCGCGGCATATGGATCGTTCAGGTCGCGGGAGAATCACGAAGATAAGCGAGACCGGTCCCCCCCCGATGCTCGCCGCTCGCCGTTTCATGGAGAACACGGCAGCGGCGTGGATCGTTTCCGCTGATCGCCGACGCCGTCAGACTGGTCTGCCGGATCTCCCGGCGCGGGAGAAATTGGCAAAAGGAAAATCGGAAAGGCCGGCCGGCCGGGGGATTCCGGTCGGGAGAGTAGCCGTCACCGAGCGACGATGGTCATCACTCGGGTGAATGCGTCGCTCGAGACTCCGCTCGTTCGAGCGGTTCCGGCAAAACGAGCGATAGGTCGCGGCAGCCGCCGCCGCCGCCAAGGCTAGGGAGAGCGGCGGCAAAAGGGAAATCGCCGGTACCGAAGGCAGGGGGAGGAGGATCGATCCGAGCGAATCGCGTTCTCGAGGAAATGTCGCGGCTTCTTCGCGATTTCGAGGCACCGCCTGATATATTAATATTTTGTTATAACACTATGAGGATATTCGCGGGGAGGAATTGGCTGCAGACAGCGGCAAATAGAGAGACATGGAAGGACATTTGGAAGAGGCCTATGACACCTTTGCTGCCTTTGCTCAAAATATCAAAATATCCTTGTCGACGTTTATCGAATGGGGGACTACGTTTAAGAGGATAAGAACGAGACATGTAAAATCGAGAGGAAAATAATCCATCCGGAAAATTCTGCAGCGTCTTGCCGCGATTTGGGTCTCGCCTCTAGCCGCCGTGTCGGCCGAGTGGGCGTTTTGTATCAGACTGTATCACACGCGACTGTAAACACGCGGTCGTATATTTCGAAGTTAAATTGCCCGTGCCTCCCTCTTGACCGAGTGCATTTCAGCCAGCCTTACTTTCGCAACAGATAGGCGATGCTTTAATTACGGTTAATCACATCGCTCGCGAGGAAGAGAGCAAGAAAAACACGCTGGAAACTGGTCTTGATTATATATATATCCATGAAGAAAAGCCGTCGGAATAGTTTCGCGGGGTACAGTTAGACTTTCGATCGCAACAAACTTCAATCGAACCCCTCCCCTCTGCCTCCGTCTCCCACAATCTAATGTGGTATCATTAAGTTTATTCGCTAAACGCCTGGACGTTTATGTGCGCGCGGCACCGCAATTACCCGGCAACGTTGCACTTCTCTACTTTCGTCATCATAGATTATCGTTGTCGTCCGTTCGAATTGAGCGTCGAAGATAGCGATAAAACTGACACGTACGAGCCGTCGACGTCGACAACGATCGTCCTCAGTGTTATCGCAATTACGCATCTCGCGTACTCAGCGACCCGGAATTCCCAGCGTCATTGTTTAATCTCACTTCGCTCACTACGAGACGAGCAGGCAACGTCTCGGCTCGGGTTTCATCATCGAGCGATCGAACTTCGCTAGCGATAGGGCTGCTCGCGTTCGCGATAGCAGACGGAATCAATCGCGTGATCGGCGCGATAGCGTTCCGACACCTGCCATTCGAGTTTCGACCCCGTCGCGTGAAATCTAATCGCAGCTGCGATTTCATAGCGAGATCTCGCCTACGAGGTGTCCCACATTCACAGGTGTCTTTCCATTCAGCAGGACTCACTCGAGACCGAAGTAATTGTAGACGCGGGACCGCCGGACTGAGAGCCGGACTCTCTTTCGAAATCCTTAACCCTTACGGTTCGTAAGCGCGTTCTTTTCGCGCGACCTTCA